GAGAGTAGGCGAGATATATAATTTGGGCACATACTTTGAGAAGAATGGTACGTTGAAGTAATACTAGTTCATTTCGGAAAAAACAACCTTAACCTTTAAGTTGCTGACCTCGCACAAGTGATTCAAGCTGAAGTGGATCGTCAACTTGGTCGAGAAGTTACAGCCGCTCGTTTTATCTCAATTCCGGATCGACCGTACAACGATATGCGATATCTTATCGATATCAGCAAAGCTGAAAAGGAGCTCGGATGGACACCTCAGATCAGTTTTGAGGAAGGTACGTTGAAAATTCATCAGGTCAGAAACAATGTAAATAGTAGAATTGGATCACCATCTTCTTCCAATGAATATCCCCTTTTTATAATTAAAGTGAATAAGTTTGCTAAAAAATTCTTAAGGTTAGTTATAAACTGCACAGGACGGTTCAATTCATAGAAATGCATCTTGATAGTAACTCACTAACAATAACTTACTTATGAGAATGCAATTTAAAGGTTTGACATGGAAATTTTGATTAAACTAGCTACAGTACCCTTAAGGAATGAGAAGAACTGTGGCATCTGCTTTAAAGCCGAAAGATAGCGTAAAAATGCACGTTGCTCTATATGGAGGGAATGGCTACGTTGGACAGGCTCTTCAAAAGGTTTTTGGCTGAATTTTCTCAGATTTCTGAATTTCTCTGATCTTGAACTATTCTGAAACGTTCAGCATGTAAATAATTTGCAGGTACTAAACAACAGAAAAGTTCCTTATGTGCTTGCTAAAGGAAAAGTTGGTTTCGACAACGATAAAGATGTGAGTTTTGCTATGGGTTTCCGCCTTTATCAAAGGAAATCTTAGGGCTTGTGATTGTTTGAAGCTTAGTTTTACTCCTGCTGTTGCTAAATAGGAATCTGCTCTAAGTGGATCCAAAAGCACCCAGAACTAGTCTGATTATTAGTTTTTCAGTTAACTTCACAAATGCCATAAATTTAGCATAATTTGAGAAATGATCTTTAATTAGTGATATCAAACTCGATCACAAATCTTGTCCTTCTTATTGAAAGTGCAACACTCCATAGACCATGCACAATATCCAAGAAATACACGTTTATAAACAGCATATCTGTTACCTGAGTATCTACTTCTGCGCTCAATTCAGGTGGAAAATGAATTAGCCACGTTGAATGTAACTCACGTCGTT